TCACAGAGCTGCAGTATTGTCAGCTTCAAGGTTTTAATAGTGATTCAAACATTTTCAACAAGACTTGACAGTATACATCTATATAGAGACTTGGAATAAGTCTTTCACTTCTTGAAATTGATATGATGTGTAAAAGGAAATTCTCATTAAGTTCTTAATAGAATGTCAGTTTCATTAATAACTTCTGTATCAGTCAACATATCAACACGTCAGGCTTCATAATTAGAGTCATCAAATGTGATCACTGATTTGATATCTAGTACGTATTTAACTTTCTTCTGATATTCCCGCAACTCATCTCTTATTATATCTCATAAGGTTTGTGCAGAGACAGGTGTAGTAAGACATTGAGTGATTTCAGCCGCAGTTATCTGATTTCATAGCATCATCTGCATAAGATTCATAAGATTGCCTGCGGTGCAATAGATAAATTGATTCAGATCATCATTAAAAATCAGCATTCTGAGAGTAAGAGACACTGAAGAATTTGATGAGTTGAAAGATTCTGCAGATGAATATTAACTCTGCTTTCTCTTATTCTGAAGCTTCTTCATTATTTCATCATTAAATTTCATACTCTGATGAAAACTGACCTCAGTCTCATCTTGCAAGTCAGAAACCTTCTCATAATAAGTGATTATTCTATTAATGAGTTGTCTAGTGAAGTGTGTGATTCTGAGTCTTGAGCTGAACTCTGAAGTAACAAGATGTATCACTCATGTCAAGATAACTCTGCTTCTTCTAGATATGTAAAAAAAAAGGTGAAAAAAGTGATATTCTTCACAATGAAAAATGTGCTTTCTTAAAAATATAAAGTATATAAATCTGCTGATCAGCAGATTCAGAGAAAATGAAATATCTCTAATAAAGAGTAAGAGTCTTTTCAAAAAAGATGAATTATTCATGTCAAAAATATTGATACAACATTCTAAAAAGAAAAACATGGTATTCAGACTTATAATCTGTAGAATAGTTGAAGATTGTATTAATAAATCTATCTACAAGAACATAATATAGTGGTGGCTCACGTGATCTAGTGGAATCGCTAAGAGAAACATATTATCTGAATTTCACAGCTTTACTCATACTCTTGAACAGAAATTCCATCTTAATCTGAGCCAGTTTAATACTCATGAGATATGAGTAATATACACTGTCAACCTTCTTGAAGACATCTCTGTGACTACTTGAGCTATCAAGAAGAGAGAGCTTGAGTGTATCAATACTGTCATAACTTAGAAAGAATTCAAAAACTTTCTACTGAATTAAATCAAAGATTATTACAATTGCAGCTTTACAGCAGCACAGCAGTTCAACTCATTATATTAATATGATGATGAGAATTCTTCTGATTTCAATACAAGATTTGAAGAATATTGAGAGGAATTAATCAATGATTTGAATCAATTAAAAACACAGCTTTATCTTATGAAGCTGACTCACAATATGTGAATAACAATATCATAGTATCAGAGTTCATTAATTAATTATACTGAGCTTGTTAATCTGGCTTTTTGAATCTATTTGAATAATCAATTCTCTGAGAAAAAGGTTAATAAGATCTCTTCTAAGGAATTAATAACAGAATCTAAACAGCACTGTGATAGCTTCAGTGCAGAAAAAGTAAAGAAGAATTTCAAGTATTCTGATTCTTCACTCACTGTAAAGAAATGTTAAAAAAGATTTGATAAAGATCTCTGTTTTAACTGTG